TGTGGTAACTAATACATTGGAGTGAAAGTATTCTTAGTTTTATAACAAGTAACTAAACTTGTAAATTGTCACTGACAGCTTAGTTAATCCAATGAAGCGGCATTAGCTTTCCACACACACACACAAATCGTTCCATGTTGTCAGCATTAAGGCAGCTTTTTTGTCTCACTGAAGTTATTTCCAGCTGTACTAAACAGACGTTCACTTGGTACGCACGTAGGAGGTGCACAAAGATAACGCTGGACAGTTTGAACCAAGGTGGGAAATCTTGATATGTTTAATTTCTACCAGTCCAGGAACGGGTGTGAGGTAACCATTATTCGTATTCGGCCCGACCGCAACTATCGGACGAATACCGAATAGTTATTAGGTTCACTATTGGCCCTGAAGCGAATACAAAGGGAATATTCGGTACAGCCCTAATATATTTATATAAAAAAATTTTTAAAGGAGGCGTAGAGAAAGGGGAAAGACTAAGACGGAGTATGCCATAACAATATAATATCTTATGTTTTATTATTAGGTTAGTTAATTTGTGTTTCCGAGACCAAAATAGTTACGAAGATCTGCTCGTATTCCAGTTACTTACTCTAGCAGTGACAGAGACGCTTGTTCAGGTTTGGGCAACTTTTCCATTAAACAAATTTAGACTTCGCCCTGTGTTGATGGTGTTGGAATCTATTCGCCAATGGTATCAACTAACTCTTCATTTATAGCATTGCAAGAGTTTATCCACCATATAATTCACTGAAGTCAACAAAGAATGTCTCAATTATGGTTCGATTATGTTATGGAAAATGTATGTATGTATGAATGTATGTATGTATGAATGTATGTATGTATGTATGTATGTATGTATGTATGTATGTATGTATGTATGTATGTATGTATGTATGTATGTATGTATGTATGTATGTATGTATGTATGTATGTATGTATGTATGTATGTATGTATGTATGGATAACAGCTTTGACGGGCTAGCTTAACCAGGAGAGGGTAGCCGACTTGGTTCTAAACCCCTCGGCGACTAGGATATACCTTCCCTGCATGCAACGACTGGACTCGGCGGATTGGACAAAAAGGCAATTACCATCAGGCTCTGTGGAGAGCTTCGAGCAAGGCAGGGCACTTAGAACGTCTTGCTCATCCACTGCACATAGGTCCATTTCCAGTTGTCTTGACATTGTCCTGCCATTGGATCAAGACGGACACAGGCGACAGAGTGGGGTCGACGAATTGCGCAACTCTTCTTTACTTTAATCCAAGCCAATTTTATTCACTTATAATGCTCATCAGTCTTTTTCAAGTCCTGTGGCAATAGGCGAGCGATGAAACGGCAAACGTGGGTAACGTTGGCAGCGTAGCCGTAGACCTGCACGCAGGCGGCTCAGGCTATTTGGTTGCTGTCCACTGATAGGAACAAAGGTGGGTTTCGGGAGCGCCCTGGGCGACAGAGCAGAACTCTTTAGGAAAGTACTGCTGACCTCCAGGGCATGAGGAAGGAGCTAGGAAAAGTGCAAAAACATTGCCTGCTCCACCATGTCCCGACCAGCATACCGATGCTGGAGGGAACCCCTATTCTGCGGTCAACAAAAACGAAAACTAAAGATAAACAAAGAAGCTATAAACAGTTTGCCTCAGGTCCCTATAAATACCTAAAAATAAATGAAACACCAACTCTTCTGGACACCCAGAAAGCCATTGATCAGCTGTATGGTGGTAAAGCTTCTGGTCTTGATGCGATACACGCACAAGTTTTCAAAGAAGGTGGTAATGTCCTTCTTCTTTTCTCTACTCCCAGAATGCCTCGCGGCGTCAGGGGAGGAAGAGATCTTTAGAACGGGCCATACTGTTCGCTTCGTATATAGTACTTTTCAGTGTCTGATATTTCTGCGGTCCATGTTCTGCGTGGTCGACCTCTGGTTCTGTTACCACTGTATAACATTGCTCTCTGTGGTGTCTTGTCCGCTGCCAATCTTGTTACATGGCCAAACCATTTGATTTGTTGTCTACCTATCCAGTATAGTATTGGTTCTGTGCCGATTTTCCTCCTGATATCATCGTTCCTAAGTCGATCTTTCCTTGTTACACCTAGCATAGTACGTAACCATTTCATTTTTCTTCTGTCTTCTGAAGACAGTGTCCATGTTTGACATTGAAAGCAGAGAGTTTGTAAGAATGTTGTGTTAAACAGTGCTTTTTTAGTGTTCATATTCACTTGCTTGCCTTTCTAAACTGGTGCTATTTGGCATAAAACTTGATTGAATTTACTGCGTCTTTGTTAGATTTCCTTATTCATTCTTCCGTCTTTTGAAAAAAATATTATAATGGTAATGTTCTCCCGGAGAAATTACACTAAACTTCTCAATTTATTTGGCAGCAAGAAATACTTCAACAAGACTTTAAAGCTGCAATAATCATACACTTGTATAACAAACGTAAAGGAAACCACCAGGTATGTGACAATCGCCGTGGAATCTATCTTCTATTGCTGAAAAATCCTCGCTAGAATTCTCCTCAACCGTCTTACAGTGCATCTTAATCAAGACCTCCTGCCTGAGAGCCAGTGTGACTTCAGAAAAGAGCGAGGGACCATTGACATGATTTTTGCTGCTCGCCAGCTCCAGGAAAAGTGTCAAGAACCCAACTGCACCCTCTATTCTACCTTCATGGACCTCACAAAGGCCTTTGATACAGTCAGTAGAGGAGGACTGTGACAAATCATGGCTAAATGTGGCTGTCCTCAGAAATTTATCAGGATTGTACAGCAGTTCCATGAAGGTTTGCAGGCCAGAGGGCTGGAGAATGGAAAATCGTCGGACCGTTTCCCTGTCTTAAATGGCGTAAAGCAAGGACGTGTGCTTGAACTAACTTTGTTCTGTATGAAATTTACTGCAATGCTTGTCAATGCCTTCATTAATGACGATCCGGAAATTGCTTTAAATTACCGTACAGATGGCAGCTTGTTTAATTTGAGGAGGCTTCGAGCTAAAACAAAAACTAAAACAACTACAATTAGGGACGACTTATTATCTGCTGACGACCTCGCTCTAAACTCCAGCTCTGAGGCTAGTATGCAGCACATCATCTTCTGAAGCCTGTACCAACTTCGGGCTAACTATCAAAACTGATAAAACTATTGTTAACTATCAATCAGCTCCCAGACAAAATCACTGTGACCGCACTATCACCGTAAATCATCAAAAGTTAAATGTAGTCGACAGATTCACTTATCCTGGCAGTACCCTATCTCAAAAAGTCAGCATCGAAAACGAGATCAACGCTATTTATCTCAAAGGCCAGTATCAGTTTTGACACACTTTATACCAATCTAAAGGTCTAGAAAGCTGAAATTCTTCCAGTTATGCTCTACGCTTGGGAAACATGGACGGTGTATCAGCGCCAGTTGAATCAGTTTCATATAACTTGTCTCAGAAAGCTGCTCAAAATCAAATGACAAGATAAGATCCCAAATACTGTGGTTCTTGTTAGGGCAAACCTGCTTAGCATCCACATGATACTGAAAAATTATCAGCTGCGTTGGCCTGGTCACCTAGCTCGAATGCAACCTCCCAAGGAGAGCATCTTATGGGCAGCTCCAGCAAGGGAACAGATCCCAGAGAGGACAGAAAAAGCGCTATAAAGACACTCTAAAAACTGCTCTCATTTCTTTTAGCATCAACACAGCGACGTAGGAGGCTGCTGCACAAGACCGTTCTGGATGGCGTACATCTTTCAGGCATGGTGCATCGGCCTGCCAGGCAGCGGGGGTAGCACAGGTTGAGAAACGGAGGCAGACTAGAAAGAGACGTATGGCTTATCCCACACCTACTGCGGCTTCGATCGGTTGTTCGCACTGCTCAAGAACTTTCCGGACTCATATCTCATATCCAAACTAATCAGCTACTTTCGTATTCACAATAATTGATCATTACTACTTTGGATGAAAAGTAGTCTTTATCATAGATGTTTGATGAACAATATGCGGGCGAGTATGTATGTGTGTGTAAGTCAATGAGTGAGTGGATCGGTGTGTGTATGTGTGTGTGTGTGTGTGTGTGTGTGTGCACGCGCGCTAGTGTGCCCATGCATTTTATTACCCACTTTCGGTGTGTGTTTTTTAAATAATTCATAATGTGCATATTACTACATGATCCTTGCATGCTTTATTAATAAAGTACAACTGCCAAGTAAAAAGTGGGCCTTTGGAAGGGCCGAATGTAAGACGGGCCTGGGTGCCCAATCTGTGACTCTTTATAAACACAGTTCGTTTATTCGTTTGTTTATTCTACAATATAACACCTAAAACTACTGAGCAATAGCACGAGATCACCACACCGGATCCTCCTCTCCTGCTCAACACAGCTCCTAAATCTATATATTTAAATTGGAGGATTATTTGTAGTCCAAAGGGAGAGAGGGAACAAAAATATTTCTAAGGATTACAGCTTACATGTACTACTAATACATTCCTTAATACCATTGTTGGCTTTACAATCTTTTGTATATCATGGATGGAATGCAATCCAGTTTCTTGTGAACGTTCACCTCAGAGTTTTTCTTAGACGTCCTCCTGTCCTCAATTAACATGTTTCGCTAATGGATGAACGGGGTTTCTGGAACCTCGCCCTGGGTGATCATCATCCGTATGGTGGTACTTTGTGTCAAGGGGTGTTTATCGCTTGGTGGATGTCCTGGTGGGGTTGAATCGCATTCATTCATTCATTCATTCATTCATTCATTCATTCATTCATTCATTCATTCATTCATTCATTCATTCATTCATTCATTTATTCATTACACGTTTAGCAATTCTCTACCAGATCTCCTTATGATATGCCTAATATATCACAATCTTTGAATTCTTAGAACTGTTCATGTCAGCGGTTGTCCATACATATAAATAAACGTTTCATATCCTTTCACTGCTATCCATCCCTCACTCCATAAACTAATACAAGCTATACAGACACTACACAGATATTTCAACTAAATCTACCTGTTCTCCTATCCTCTTGTACTTTATTATGTACACTGGAAGGCACTGATTTTCGTCATACACAACAAACTCATTGAACAGCATTTCAGTTCCCTGCAATGAATGATATTTGTCTGGCAATTTACACCAGCACTTTTTTTCGCATTTCACCAAGCAGTATTTTTTCTTCCACTTTTCTGCATCTGCGGAGACAGAATTTTGAATAGAATTTAATTGGAACATGTTCAGAGGATCGGTTTGATTTTTTTTTCGACAATGGTTTGAAACGCTAATCGTATAGTCATCAATTGAAAATAGAGAAGAAAAAAAAAAGACCTTGATATTCTGCAGTGTACAGTAATGGATACGCAGCACACACAAAAATTGATCCAAATGTAGCAGTGTACATTTTAAAGCGGAGAGAAGAGAGGAGAGAGATAGATAAAAGTAGAGAGAGACAGAAAAGGACAGAAAAGAAAAACTAATACCTAAAGGATGTGTGAGAGGACAAAGGGTTCTCCTATGTGGAGAGTGTAGTAATGTCTACACCCCAAACGATCAGGTAATAGTCAGTGCAGGTATGAAAGAGAGAATATAGTAAAGTGGTATAAAGGCTACGACAACTGAATAATAGTACCACTTTTATACTCAACAAACTAACGATGGAACAAAAGAATAACAACTAACAATGTTAAGAAACAGAATTACAAAGTCGTACATTTCATATAACACTACCAAAAAATGTTATACTAAGTTATAACCACAGCGAACTCAACTGCTGCCTATCCTTCATTATCACTGATAGTAGAATCTACCCTACTCAGCGATAAACTAACAAGTTAACTCCTAGAAACTCATTCATTGCTATTAATCTGTTACTTCCTATTTAGCCAGCTAGATACGTCTAAAATTAATAAGCCAAATATCGACTACAATTTAGCCACACTGCCGATTGCAGTCTATAGACCATCTACCCTATTGCCAACCCAGTACAACCATGACAGAAACTTCTATGTCGCAAATCATCCATCAATGTTTCGAGCATTATCTGCCACAGGTCACAAAGCTTACAAAGGTCTGCCATGTCCCCAAACCAGTGACATCTCGCAAGTGAGACTTCGCTTCTGTGACACTGTTCTCTCGCCGGAGCCTTTCTCCTGACTGCCCTTACCCAGAACCATCCTCAACTAACCAAACCAAGCCGGTCTTAGTTCATTAAACTGAATTTCCCGCCAAACAAGGGTTTCCAAGCTACTTTCAAGCTCGATGGAAAAACCCCAAATGATCTAACATATCTTTGTTAGTTGTCTGCCTCTTTAAATTTATGACTGGGATCCAACCTTAGTTAGCATTTCTTTGTAAGTTTTACCTCTACGTTAGCCCACAAGTTTCTAGGTCATTGACTTGATAAACCCTCTTGTAAACGTTTAACATAAACTTTAAGTTCATCGACTCTTGTCTAAACTTATCCTTTGTGTGGCTGTGTCTACCACCGCCACACCAGGATGGTTAAATAGTAATGCTAATTGAGAGGCATAATTAATAAGATCTTTTTCAATAAATCGTGTGAAAAGGATAACCTGTGTTTAGCGGGACAATACAGTTTTTACAATGTTGTCAGCGAATGTTTTATGAATTTAACACTTATTTATATTAAAGAACCTATCGACAGAGATAGACTGCACAATATTTTGGTAAAGTCTTTACAACATGCAACATCTTTCCGATGTGCAGCATCCATCCGATGTTCAACATATATATAAATTCTTTTGTGTAATTGTAACAGTTTCCTGACATAAACTGATGGAATCTTTCGAGCCGCAATATATGTATTTCATTCGTGATTGTAATAATTTGAAGCTTACTAGTACCTTTCTTGTTTGGTATGATTTTCAAGGATTATAACAGAGCTGTTTATGTTTGTATTAGAGAAAACAATATCAAATTAATCTTTTTGCAAGGCAGTTACCGTGTTGTAAATTAAATTTATCCATTTGTTAATCAAATTCACCCATTTGCAGATCAAGCTTTTGAACAAAAATGTTTTTTGAACTGTTGTCCAGTGATGAAATCTGGGTAAAGTTACTGTTGATACTAAATATTTCATTGTGTGCGTGCGTTCGTGTGTGTGTGTGTGTGTGTGTGTGTGTGTGTGTGTGTGTGTGTGTGTGATACATATTTATCAAACCAGAAGCGTAGCAATTTGAAAAATTATACTACATTAGTTCTCAGGACGACCCATCCATAAAAAGGTACAAGAAACTATAACAGAAGATAAGGGCGGCTCACGTGATGTTCATCCCATCGTGTATCTATGGATCTATAAAAATATAAATCTAGCATCATACGCTTACAAGTGCTGGGAAACATCCCTTCCCTTTCCTCCCCCTCGCCCCGTGATTGGCCTCCCATCTTTTCAGAGAGTAATACAACATTTGAGATTTTGAACAATGGATCAACATCATAGCACACGCATAAGTGCTCGGTTCTTCTTCTAACTCAAGTCTTAGTCCGAAGAAGC